ATCTTGAAAAAAATTGCTGGTAGCTTGAATTTTTCTACAACGAATTTCTTCTCGTTCTTCGAATTCTTTACAGCGAATTTTTCTAGTCCCTTGAATTTTGTTGTGAAGAGTCTACCTGCAATGAAATTCGCAGTTCATTAGAACATTTAGGACTAAAATAAAAACAGGTAATGAATGCTTTGAAGTGATTCCATAACGGGCATATTAGGAACTTCCATTATTTCTATCAACCACTTTCGATGATCTAATAAGGAAATATTAAAAAAATAAAGATACCTCTTATTTTGAACCGGTCTTGCTTCAAAATGGCCCAGAAATATTTTTGCTTACTAAAATATGACGTGAAAAAAATACAAGAAACACGACAGTGGAGACAACGAATTTTGAAGAATTTCTTCACCGGTCAAAAACGCGTGCCCTCAAAAAGCAGAAAAAAAAGAATAAACGAACGCCGTTTCACAAATCAGATTCGAACGATAAAATAGCAGACGTATCCACTGTAAATGATGGAAAATTAGCCGCCAAAATAATTAAATAAATCAGTCACAGCGATCATTCTTGTGAGCTTCGGCCGCAGCTCCCAAGACCTGGTTCGGAAGCACCATGGTTTGATCATCCAACAGAACCACATCGAAAGTGTCCAGAAACGATTTCAATCGCTGCTCAATCTGCACAGAAACAATATTCATCAATACACGTTACTTCATTTTAGAGGGAAACAAATGCAAAAAAATAATTCGGCAAAAATACTTTTGAGAAAGCTTCTATAAAACCTACAAATGCAGTTCCTGTTAATTTTGAAACATGCTGGAACACAGAGCCCGAATCAAACTTTGCATGTTGTTCAAAGTAAAAATGGTCATATTCGCATAAAAAGAACCAAAAAGCAGATGAAATATAACCTAAAATGACTCAGTGTAGAGAAAAAATGCCATTGTGACTGCCAGCGATATCTACCATCACGGAGACAAGTTGAATAAGCTTTGATGGACAAGCTCCAAAATTAATAAATGTTAAATTAAATCTAAGATAAACATGGATCACTAGAATTTCCAAGTGCTCAGTAAGTTTTCATAAAACCTCCGAATTAATTTTAAATACGGTACTAAACTCCTGTACAGTATTAAAAATAACCCTTACTAAAAAAATAAGACTGATATACTGTAAAAAAAAAAAAATGTCCCACATTGAGGTTCAAAAAGCCGATTTTGAGCACGAAACGGGGGTCAATGACGCCATCAGCCATGTTGGCGTCCCCCGTGGAATCTCCCATCAAGATGACATTCGGACGATGAGACAAATCTTCAAAATAGTTGGAATGAACAGTGGCAGTCTCGTTCTTGTTGAACGGATGTATAACGTCTCCTTTCAGGCCAACAATTTTCCCCTGTAATTAGCAAAAATTAAATTCAGAAAGGGGAAGTAAATTTGATGGTTGGTAGGTTCATAAATTTCATCAGCCTTGAACTTTTTATCAAGGAATTTTTTTTCTTCTTTTTGAAAGATGAATGGAAATGGGAGTTTTTATTCTTTAAATACGAAAATATAGTACTTGTTGTCAGCATATTTTTAATGCATTAAAAATACTCCTGCCCAGTAAAAAAAATTACTGAACTTGTAACAAATATTTGTGTACCAACAAGTAACAGCCTCTACAACGATTTTTTCTTTAGGGAAAATTTTTTTGTGTCCCATGGGAGTTCTTAACCTATTGAAGAGTTCTCTGCAACAAAATTCTCTCTACAGCAAATATTTTCCTAGTACTGTACTGTATATTTCCTGAAAGCGTTTCCAATTTTTTATCACACAAGTTTAAATGAAAGAATAAATGCACAATTTAATTCAGGAAATAATATTCATCATCCACTTTCGCAGGTTTCCTGAATTCTTCGAAATTTCGGAAGAAAATATTTGTAACGTTTTGATATTTTTAAGACAGGTGGACTCGACAAGGAAATTCAATGGACCAGAAATTTAAAGTTCTCAATAGACCTTTAAAAAACCCCCTCGTGATTAAATGCATACGTACGCTTTCGTCAAACTCGAATCTATTCGAAATAATGTGCACATTGGGAGTCAAACTGTCTTGGAACTTGAGAATCTCTTCAATCACGTCCCCGAGCCCCGCGGAAAACACCAACAAAGGCACTTCGTTCTTATTCAAAAGCTCCATCATATCATGGGTCCCGCACCTGCAAAAAGAAAAAAAAGAACCCATGCCCTTTTTCAGCTCCTTATTATGTATTCCCCCAGATTATCATAATCACGCAGTACTCATGGGTGATTGATCACCACCCATCATACCAAAAAAAAATTAAAATAAAACAAAAAACGAACCGCAAATCGACTTTTGCCGAACGAACCATATACTTGATGGTACCCAGATCCAAACCCATGTCCCGGAAGATATAAAACCCTTCCATAAACCAGTCGATGGAATGCGGGATCTTTTCCTCAACCGTCAGCTCGTGACAGATTTCTATTGGCAAATACTTGCTCTTGNGCCGAACGAACCATATACTTGATGGTACCCAGATCCAAACCCATGTCCCGGAAGATATAAAACCCTTCCATAAACCAGTCGATGGAATGCGGGATCTTTTCCTCAACCGTCAGCTCGTGACAGATTTCTATTGGCAAATACTTGCTCTTGAGCTCGGTAAACTTCTGCCGCAAATGTTTCGGGAACCGATCCGATTCTTGAACAACGTCTAAAAAAAAATATACGAAGAGGAATGATCAAAATCATACATTCGAGAGAGGCGAGATTGGACTTGATTTTTTTTTTTTTTTTGGATCAATGAGTCTTGTCCATTACGAACTCGTTTTCAACCCATTTATTTAACATGATGAAGAAAATTGAAATACATGTATAGGTAAATTTCTGCTGCGAGTGTTCCCGGAACCTCTAAAAATAAAAATATAAATACAAAGCGGAATAATCAAAATTATACATTCGTGAGAGGCGAGATTGGGCTTGATTTTTTAAAATCAATGAGTTCTGTCCAACCAGAACTCGTTTTGAATTCGAACCCATAAATTTAACCAGATAAAGAAAATTGAATTCTAGGCATATTTCTTCTGCTGCAGGTGTGTCGGGAACCGATCCGATTCTTGAACAAAGTGTAAAAATGAAAATAAAAATACAAAGCGGTATAATCAAAATTATACATTCGAGAGAAGCGAGATTGAACTTGATGTTTTTTTTTAATAAATCAATGAGTCTTGTCCATCCCGAACTCGTTTTGAGCCCATAAATTTAATCCGATTAAGAAAATTGAATTAAATCTTCAATTCCTCGTCCAACCTTCGTAAATCTTACATTTTCGTTCACCGTTTTGTACGTGTCATCACCCAGATTTTTATCTCGTTTCAAAACTTACGTTTCGACTATTTTATGTGAACTCACAAGTCCGCTAATTCCTCCTTTGCGATTTAATCGACCCCCAGCCTGTTCAATTAAAAAGAGAAAAATTCCTGATCTCGTAAAATTACGTTTTAAAGTTCCACAAGATAAAATCGGAAAGATATGCTTCTACTTAAATTTAAATTTAATGCCCACATTCTTGAAATCTTGCGCGGAGTCAAACGAAAACGAAAAAAAAGTTGATCCAAGAAATGAAAAAAAAGTTGAATATGTTCAACTTCGTGGATCTAAGAAAATTCCAGCACTTGCAAAGAATTGTAAGTTTCGGCTTAAACATTTTCGCAATAAGACATTGAATATGATTACTGTAACTTAAATGAAATAGAACTCATACATACTCGATTGAACAAAATAAAACAGAATAGAACACAAGATAAAATCGAAAAAATATGCTTCTATTCAAATTTAATTCCCAAATTCTTGAAACTATTCTCGCGAGGAGTCAAACAAAAACGAAAATAAAGTTGATCCAAGAAACGAAAGAAACATCATCTCGAAAATTTTGAACTTTGCGAGTCCGAAAAAATTCCATTTCTTGCAAACAATGAAAACGGTTTTGCTGAAATATTTTCGCAATAAGACATCGAATATGATTAACTTGAATGAAGAATAAGAACTCATGCATAATAAATTCAACAAAATGAAACAGAATATCCAAATCACTCACTGAAACAATTGTGACACATCTTTCCGTCCGAATGAAACCGGGACATCGTATGATCAAAATCCGCAATAACCTTGAAAACAACACACGGAATGCCATAGAAAGAAAAAAACTATTTTTCTTCTTCAATCAATGGGAACCAAAAAAAAATTCAACTCACTTGCAGTTCCGACAAACGTCCACTTATGATACCTTCGACTTTTTGCAACACAGAAACCGGGTTCTTCATCCGAACGTCAGCTGCTGCAAATTTAGGAGCCTGAGAAAATCGAAAGTACATTTTTTTTTTAGATTATTCGATCATCGAACATCAATGCAAAACAATCAATAACCAACCAAAGCGATCAACTTCTCATACGCTGCTTTGCTGACTGGGTCGCTAATCCACGTGTTCCCCTCCATTTTTTTTTCCTTGTTCACTCAGATGGAAATACCTGAACTTTCACTTCGAAAAATAAAATCACAATCCTTCGAATCAAGTTCACAAGTGGCAACACCGTAGATCAATTGAGCGCGGTTCAAAACGGCGCGCCCAGAAAAAAAAAAAAAGCGCGCATCGACAGGGAAAATATCTCCAATTACTGATTGAAACGCAAAAATTAATAACTCCTTCAAAAGCACATTTTAACCGAAACTACAGAAATTATCGAGGAAGAGGATTTGAACAAATATAATTTTTTTCACTTCTTCTGCTTTCGGCACGCATTAATTTCGGCAAGAAATTTTTTTTTAATATTTTCATATTATTCAAGCGTGCTGAAGAAACTTGAAATTCAAAAAACCGAGACTGGAAAAACAACATTTCACAAAATTTTTGAATCCAAAAAACGGATGAAAAGATCAGCTTTCTGAGTCTTTCGTATCAACATCTCAACACCGCCTGCTGCACCAAAAATTTCCACTGAACTAACATTCTTCTCGGCTTCGCTCAGCAACAACGTTTCAAACGTAAACACACAAGTTTCTAATGCATATACAAATCACTCAACAACAACAAAGAAGACATTCACAAATTGTGAAACGAAAAAGCCGAAAAAAACTCACCACTGATGCTTCTATGTAATGTATAGTCGTGAAACTGAGGGGAAAATTGTATCTATTCCTCTTTCTCTCGGCTCAACGCGCGAAACACTTCTGAATAGCACTGACTCAAAGCAGGGAGAGAGAGAAAAAAAATCGATCTGAATCCACGTATCGTGTATTATAAATGAATTCGACAGAGAAATGATAGGGAAAAAAATTTTCTGAATCGCGTAATTCTCATCGAAAACAAAACATTCTTTCACGCGTGTCCACGAAGCACGCAAACAGATGAAACGGGCTTGGGGGAAATAAAAAAAAGCACGATCATCGCGATGTCGACGTTACAGAGAGAATTATTTAAATTTCAATTTTTCAACCCGTATTTCGTGAATTTTAATTTTCATCTCTTACGCCTCTGGATTCACTCGGATATAATAAGTCACCATCGATTATTAGAACAATTTATTCAGAAAGAGATTTTCTGAAATTGGAAGACACCTTCAACTTCTCCAAAATCAAAGAAGTCTTTTTAAATTCCGCAGAAGTGAAAATTACAGCGAAGATCTCCTGAGTTTCAAATTATTACTTTGTCAATAGAAGCACTTGAAAACTCAAGTCATGATATTAAAAAAGGCAGCATCGATAGACTACAAACATAACACAATGTTCCGAGCCTTTCAAAGTCCAAAATGGAAAAATCCACGCTGATATCTTGGATACTGAACAAATTAGCACATTGCTGGTTAATCGTTCGAATTGCATATTAAGGCACAGAACGACAAGCTTTCCGTCATGCAAAAGTATTTCAAATAAGGTTGAAATAATTTTGAAATCCCTTGAATTGAAAAAAAATTATAAAAATAATCATGTACCTCATTACTTTTCAAATTGTACAAAATATTTTGCGCGACGCGATTTTTAAAAAACATTTGAATCGGACAATAAACTACAAAAAAAATCGTCATGCAAATCTATTCATTTTCTAATTTGGTAGAATATTTTATGCGACGTGGTCATTCACCATATTTTACAGAGATTAAACAAAACTGAGAGTAATTGTTCGGTATACATGGGGATTTAAAAGTGAAAACATCAACAAAACGATCCAACGATAAAGATGAAAAAAAAAACAAATATTACAGGAAGATATTTCGCACCTATTTCAATAATTACGAAATGAGTGGATGGATTAATGTTCCAGATGCGTTTCAGTTTTTGCATGAGCAGAAAAAAAGGTTCATTTATGTCAAGTTCACCGTAGGAAAATTCTTTTTCTTGAGATAACGAAAAAGTTCTCGCAAGGGTTTCTGAAACTGATTCGATTCTCATTTCATGTCAAAAATAAAAATAATAACAGTGGAACGATCACATTACGCCTCAAGGCAGCAGATATTGCTTCGAAAAAGCAAACATCGTGTTTATACAAGAATTCAAACCTGTTTAAAATCCATCAATTCCAGCAGAGAGAAAAAAAAATCATTCTTGTTATTTCCCGCTCGTCCATCACCTAATGCCATACGGCGTATTTCTTTCAGCATGGAGGTTCGTCACCCGAACCTCATCGAGTTTAATTGCGTAAATTGCGATAGGATTTAGAATCCGATTATTATTTTGGTGATTCAGTTGATTCTTCAAAATTGCTGGAATACAAGGAATCTGGTTGGGTAACTGTAGAAACGGACGTGACTCGAGATTCAAACCCCCGATCGAAGAAAAAACCACTTTCCACAATTTTGCAGGCATCAAATTCATGATGGAAAATACAAACGAAAATGTTGCTTGAATTCGGTTCCATGAGATATGGTACAACTGAATAATACTGAAGTCGGGACAACAACAAAATATTTCCCAGGACTCAAAAATAAAAATCTTGATATCGGAGATCAAACAATCATGTTTAGATCTGTACAAAACCACAAGGGGTCAAGAAAAATCGGGTTTACGACAAATATTCTAAAAATAAATTCAAAATTGATGCTCGTAAACGATACTCACACTTGGCCGGAATTTTCAAAAATGGAAAATGAGCAGGAAAAAAAAAAAAAAAACCACAGAGACGTTTCAGACAGTTTCGGTGCTGTTGACTGACCCATTTCACAACGTCGGCGAACAGCGTGTTTTCAATACACACACACGTCACTCACTCGGCAGAAAATTCCAGGCGAATCACCACCCAGCACTCTTGAATTACATTTTATTTTACTGGATTTTGCACACTTTTCTCTCGTCACTTCCCACGTTGTTTCCTGGCACCCAAGGCCTTGAATCTCGAGTTTTTCCCAGCAGCAATTTTTTTGGTATCCTGTGGAAGGTCCGTCTGCGCAACGACTCCGTGCAGCGCTTCGTACAACAGCTTCGCGTTTGCACCACTTTCCAGCGCTTTCGCCAGTTCAATCTGCCAATTACAATAATGTATTCAAATGTTCATATGAAAAAAAAATATATATACATATATATTCCCAGTATAAAAGAGAAAAAAATTAACTGACCTCGGACATGCCCAGGAGGTGATCCATGTCTCGCACTCTCCGCATGAAAATCTTCAGGTTCCTCGTGTTCAATCCAGGCAATTTACCCAAAAAATCCTGGAAACAAAAATTCAACTCGTCCTCAACCCAATCATTTCTTTTTCCATCACATAGGTGTCACCTCAAAATTTTAACAATATATTTTCGATTGAAGTTAAATCGGTATAATTTTCAACGTCACGTGAGTCTGAATAAAGCTAAGTTATGAAGTACAAGTGGGGCCTTTAGCAACGAACGCTTTACACAACGAACCCAGGTTCTAACGCCTTTTTTTTGAGCGACGAATTTGACTGGAGAAACAAACCGCAAGTCAATTAGAAAAACAAGAAAATTTTAAAATGTTTTTCCTCTCATAGAAATTTTAAATTTCCATGATACATTCACAAATAGAAAAAAATTGGATGAAAATTAACTTAATTAAACCACGTGAGAATTTGAATTTACAGTAGTTTGAAATTCCAAGTTGGCATGCTTTTAATAATTTTCAATCAAAACTCATCAGCAATGAATGTTTTCTTTGTATTCTTGGCTGTTTTTGAATTTTTCATGCTCATTTTCTTCATTTTACCTTAAGACTTATTTTAATCTGGAGCAAATTAAACAATTACCCGTAGGTTACCATGGGAAAATTGTGACTTGCAGGAAGAATGCCTTGAGCAACAAACCACCACTGGTTGCTCAAGGCTCCACTGTGTTTTCAAGAGGAAGTTTCTTTCTTGGAGGTGATTCGGCCGAAACTCCTCTGATATATAAGAACAATAAGAAAGAGCTTTGAAGGGAAAATTACAAAATGTCCATACGAAGGGAATCGAAGGGTCTTTTCCTTCTTTCTTTCCTAGGAATCGATCCATCAAAGTAAGAATCATGAACTGAGAATAAGTTCTTTATGAAAAAATGTTATAATGGTACTCGTCTCCCAACTTTCTTAGTAACTAGCGTTGCAAAAGGAGGCGGCAATTTGGTTAGCGTGAAAGTTGTAATCCGACCTCAAAAGGAAGGAAGTCAAATACTTTGTCAAGTCGTCAGCGATACGGACCCGGAGACCAAATGATCTTCAGCTTCGGAAAATGCAGCGTTAGCAATTGCAAACGTGCCGTCACGTCCGTCGATTTGGCATCACTCGAAAAGTAATATCGACCCTGCAAAAAAATAAAATATTTACAGGTAACGAAAAATGAATAGAAATGAAAACAATAGATGTAATCAAATCGAAAACTCTTGAAAATTGAGCAGACATTATTTCTAACATCCCCGATATTTACCCAAATGAGGAGGAAATGTGACAAGGTCTTTTTTTTCTAGAATTTTTAAAAACCGTGCAAATCCATTTACTGTGATAAAAATTCTGGCTAAACGCATGAAACCACCTTTGTAGCAACACTGAATGATTTATGTCCCTAGTAGTATATGTATACAATTGAACGCTGTCTCAAAATGTCAATGTCCATTCCCTGCATCAAACTGTTTCTTTCTCATTGTTTCTGAGTCAAATTGAATTTGTCTCAAATTTTCTCTGTCCCACATTGTCCGCTTCTAACTTGGTTCTTTCTTAATTGTCACTGTCACAAATACAGTGTCTCAAACTGACCAAATTGATGTAGTCACGAGTTGGCTTTACCTGAAATTGACTCTGTCTGAAATTGACTCTGTCTGACATTGACTCTGTCTGATATTGACTCTGTCTGAAATTGACTCTGTCTGAAATTGACTCTGTCTGAAATTGACTCTGTCTGAAATTGACTCTGTCTTGAACTGACTAAATTCTGTTTCACATTTTCTTTATCTGAAATTGTCTCTGTTTCAAATTTGTCTGCCTTGAATCATTCATAAGCAAAAGTCAAAATCTGAAGAAAAATTCAGACTTACATGATTCAAGGTGAATGGCTTATTGTGATCAAACTCAATCAGCAACATGGGCCGGGCATAAGTTCTGGTCATAGCCTGCGCCTGATTATACAATCGCCCAGAAACCAAACTTTGTATAAGATCGCTGATACTTTTCCTTTCCACGCAAATATCCGGCGTTAGAATATAATCTCCAACCTGAAATAGAAACAAAAGGCTACAAACCCCCCGAATTTTTCAAAATCGCTGCAAGTGCTGTAAAAGAAAAAATGAAAAGATTACCTCGATGGTAACGGGATAAATATCGATTCCGCGACGATGGATAAGAGACGGCAATTCGGAACGGAATTCTCTCATATCCACAATAATCATTTGTTCTCCGGGTTTCGGCTGATTGTCAAGAAGACCGCCTTTGCGAGAACTCGGTCCTACGAGATTGGCAATTGCTTGGTCACTGGCTTTCGTTGGGTCTCTCGCCAAGTCTGGATGATCCTCTCCTCGACCCTCTGCATCTTCAGGTATCACCATCGTCTATTTTCAATATTAAAAAAGGTATAAATGATATGCCAAAAGTCAATAACCCATTAAAAAAGAACATGGTTTCTCGCCGAAGAGAAATCAGCAAGAACGACAGGAGCGTCCCGCAACGGAAATTTCAACAAACTTGGCCCAAGATTCGGATCAATTGATGGGTAGATGTCACTTCAAACAGACTTTTCGTGATTACTCATCCCTCTAACGAGGACAGATCCAATTCTCAATTTTCAGATCTTCCTCAGGAAGTTCACCTCCGACTGGAATGCCAAAGCTACCTTTTCAACTTCACCCATGACTTGAAACAAATATAAAAGGACAGTTTTTGCAACGTGGAGTAACGCTTTGACACAATTATTTTAGGAGTTCCCTGGGCACGGCGAACTACATTTTAGAGAATTTCTTCGGGAACTCACGCGTTAATTCGTTCAGTATTCTCAGGACCAAGAACACTTCAGAATAATTATATCAAAGTAAAGTACAGTATTTTAATTTTCATCACTCACCGATTTTTCTTGAGCGAGATGCTTGAAAGCTTCCTTTTCCTTCCTAATACTCGTCAAATACGCTTGTTCTTCAAACGTTCCCGCGAATACCATCAGGTAAACACGAAGGGGTCGCTCCGGGTTCCTCGCTTTGTAAACCTGACAAAAAAAATTTTCGAATTAAAATTTGACAAAATTGTATGAAAAAATGAATGCAATGTACCTCAATTTTCCGAATGAACGTGATATCAACGTCGTAGAGAACGATGGCAATCGGATGCAAATCATACATAATTCGTTCAATAGAAAACGGATCATGCGCATTGACCATCGGCTCGACCACGGGAATCAATTGATTCACGTCTGGGAACTCTTCTTCAAACTCATCTTCCTTCTCTTCTGCAGCCTCGACAACAACTGGTTCGCTCGACTTTTCCGCAACCACAACGACATCTTCGGCTCCTTTCGAAGATCCAACCATCTGGGTTAGGGTTTGATGCTTCAATCTCTTTGGCTTTGAGCGATCATTCAAAATTCGTTTGCGTTTGGCGCGACGCTTTCTGCGCCAACCCCGTTTCGAGAAGGCCTTCCAATTGGCCTCGTCTTCGTCAGCTTCCCGGGCACGTTTCAAAGAGTCTTGAGGTCCATACGTCAAGAACTGAATGAAGAAAAAGATTGCACAATTGTATTTAAAAAATTAACTATCACGCATCAATAATTTTCTCGTCCGATTTTTTAGCCAAGCATCCAACGGTGTTAACGCACGAACTTTCAATCAAGATTCTAAAAATTTCAAATTGATTTTTCGCACGAAAATCTGCCCATGATAGGTTCCCAAAATTGTACTTCATCGTTCAGAGACGATAAAACCAGCATTCTATATACTTTTTCGGAAGCTAAGTAACGATGTTCCGATTGTCAAGTAGCTAAAAAAATGCTTTCTACAAAATCCAATTGGAAAATATATCAATAGCATGCTCATAAAATAGGTATAAAATAATAAGCAAGAAAATTAATGTTCGGAAAACAGATTTACCAATAAAAAATGATGGTGGAGAATAACAGGAGTTTTGAATAGCGAACAATTACACTGTGCGATAAAGTCTTGCTACAACAAATACCATTACAAAAATCGTTTCAGTACAACGAACTTTTTGTGTGTCCTGACATAAAGCCTACATACTGCACACAATATAAAAAACTTTTCAACTTCTCTGCAACAAACATATTGATGAAGTTGCTGACATCAACAACCCTTCATTCGTTTCAAAAAGTTAACGGAGTTTTGAAGGAGCGAAACGTTTGAAAAATTGGGACAGAGAGACAAGATCTCGAATTGGATATTTGCAGGTCTCATTCGAAAAAATTTCCCAGTCATTAATTTTGAAAATCGCATTGAAAAAAAATTTTCACTAAAATAAAATTTTAATGCCCCCTCAAATTTATTGTAACAAAATTCGACTGCGATAGTCAGCATGAAAATGCTTGAAAAAAAAACACACACCCATAAAGTTCGAAGAATTTAAAAACAATAGAAGTCTTATTCCATCTACTCTCGATAATGTCAAATTACCTCCCGAGTCTACCAATGCAGAGTTTAAAAATTCAAATTTCGCTGACTTTACGCAAAAAAAAATTTAAAATAGATATAGTTTCCCACGGTTTTCCACATTCGAAACCAGAAACCACGTTCACCTGCTTAATTTGCATGCAAGCCCGTTCATCATGGGCCACAATGAGCACACGAAGAATAACCCCCGAAGGCGGAGAAATTTTCGGCTCTTCCCCATCGTCTCCAACGGGTTCCGGGTTCGCCAAACGCTTTTCTTCGTCCAGTATCTCAGCCAAAGCCGTCCACTTCGGACTGATTTCCACCTCGGATCCAGCACCTTGAGAGCGTAAATTAGCACTAGATAAAAGTCGAAATTGATTCGAGGAATTTATAGGCACCTATAGAAACCATTCTTTTTTTGGCCTCCACAAACAGGGTCTGAGCAGCGTCCATTAGCATCCAACCAGACGATTTCATCGCCATTTCCGTCGTTCGCAAATGGCTGATTTTGCGCTCGAATGCAATGCAATCACTTTGAGCCAAGTCCCTAAAATTGTAAAAATATATTTTTAAAAATCCCGATATTTTCTTTTACTTGATCAATGATGAAAACGAACTGTAAGATAGCCCGTAAAGTATTCAGATCAGCGATGAGTTGCCGTGTTCGTTGAGAAAGTTGATGCCAAATCGGATCCAGCAATTTCTTTAGCATTTTACCAAAATCCCGCGTCAAGGCATCTTCAGTCGTCAATTCTTCAAGTTCCAACTACAGTATTTCAAAACTCAGAGAATCAAGATTTAAAGATACTAAATTCTTCATAAAAATGCTGATTTACCATCGGATTGCAGCGCCGAATATCCTTCACCATGGAGTCAATCAAATCGAGTAGCGATGCTTGAATATGTGCCATCGGTTCAGTCAATTGCAGATGCACTTCGATAACTTCAGCCTGAAAGAAAAAACGAAAATTAAATTTCGAGACAGATATTAAATTCTCAATCTCGTACTACTGAACTCACGGGATCTTTTTCCAAACAGGCTTTCACCGAGGCATGGATTCGAGGCCACAGGAAAAGCTTTCCGACGAACAGAGACCTCATGACGCGAGAAACTTGGCAAAATCCAGATTTGAATGACAATGGACTGCACGAGAACGCCTTCACGAATCCAGTCTGAAAAAGAAAATAAGTTTGGCAAAATCTAGCCTTTATAAGCACTCTCCGAAGATTAAATTTGTAAAATCCTGATCCAAATGGAAACTGACGGAAGGTAAACGGCTTTACGAAGTCTGTCCAATAATTATTTTCAAAATTTTCCTGATCCTGATAATTGAAAATCCGACTCTTCGACTGTTTCAAAAAATAAAAATTCACGAACTTTCCATTAAAATGACTGTCGACTGCAGAACATCTCCACAAATCCAGTTTAAAATTCAAGTTTGTCAAAATCCTTATCTGAACGAAAGCTTCCAAACTTGAGTCTAAAAATACATGATGCCACAGAATTATGCACTTTACTGGGTGAAAAAAAAACACGCTTTCTCAAATCCAATGGGGAAAATCCTGTCATATATGTCATCTGAGAAACACCTTAAAAAATCCCGTACTAGAATTAGATTTTTGTATGTCCGAAATCGAAACAATTGACGCTTGCCAAACTTTTCGAATCTCGACTATTCCTCGACTGAAATTAAAATTCGCGACCTTTAGATCTCAATGGATAATCTCCACAAATCCCGCACAGAAAGTACAACTTGCCAGCAGGGCATACTATGATGAAAAAAATTTAATACAAACTAAATTTGTGTGTAATACTCAACTGATCAACCACCAAAGATGCGCTCATAAACGTTCAAAAAGGGGTCGGTTCAATTTAATGATTAAAATACATTAAATAAAGAAAAACTACATACGACTCGTCGATTCAAAATTCCTCGCTCACCTTGTTCTTCTGTCGAAACAAACGAAGGATAAAAGCATCTTGACACGACTCCACGACACGATGAGCTTTCAACACGATGAAGCCCGAGATCAGATGAATCGGAACACGATTCATCAGCAGGTCTACTACGAGGATTCGCGGACTTGCGAACAGAACTCCTCCTTCAAGATAATACTCTAACCTGAGAAAAAATAAAATAGTAGCACGAACATTAAAAAAAATATATTTCTCCATCAGATATACGAGGGCTTCCCCAGTTGGACGCGACCGCTGATATTCTCAAGAGTATGTGTGATAATAAAATAAATAAATATTGAATCACATACCCCTTAATGTTCCAAGACTGGGATTTTTTCCGGATTTTAAAAAAACTTTTCGAATTACTGCACGACGTTAAGTGAAAAATTTTCAGTTAAAGCCAGAGATATCAACCGATGTCAAGGAGGGCTGAAAATGTGTCCGGCTAGAAGAATTTTTTTTAACCATTACATAAACTTTGGAAAAGATAATGAGTAAAACAACAAAAACTTCGAATTTTTTTTTAGCTGGCCGGACAAATTTTCAACACCCCATGACATAGGTGGAGAACTCTGGCAGCACACCTGGAAAGTTTTCACCTATTATCGCGCAACAAATTAAAAAAACTTATTTTCAACTGAAAATTTCAATCCAAAAATCTCTATAACTACATTAATATCATTATGGGCTATGTCACTTTTTTTTAAATCACATCTACTCTAAAAATATCAGAGGTTGCGTTGAACAATAACAACTCTCGCATATTCATCATTTTTTAAATCAACCAACCTATCTTTGACGGCAACATCAGCAGTGACCAGTCTTGGCAACAAGGGAACGCTCAATTTCTCCAATTCAGTCACGTAATGAGCTTCGCCTTCAGAAGATGCTCCCAACACGAAAACCAGCTGCTTAGAGTCGCAATGCGCCCGCATGAAATTAAGAATTACCGCATCCATATCCAGTCCCCTGAAAATATCAATTAAAAAATAATAATTTATCATTTCTTTGAAAAGAGGAAAATTTTTTCGTCAAAAAGAGTTCCAATACCGCCTTCAACTAAATGCAGAAGAATCGTCACTGAAAAATTGAAGGTGTTCAGCGGTAAACTTCCTTGCTCTTCACAAAGCATACCAAGTTGTACAGTAGTACGACAATTTTTTTAATTTTATTTTTTCACTGCTTCAAGAGATAAATGTGACAAAAGATTACGAGAGAATTAAAAGAGCCTACCTCGAACTGATGACCAGCGCGTCGTTTTCCATGAGATCCAAAAGGATCTGATTTTCGTAGTCCAACATCCTTGCTGAGAAAATCAAAAATCTTCGCTAGGGAACTCAATTCAAAAAGAAAGAAAAAAAACCACTCTCAACAGATATCACAGCAACGATGCGATCGCTTTCAAAACCAGGTACGAGACACGATTCGTTCCGGGCTGCGGTTCAGCTTCCTTCACCTTCAAAAACATAACTGAAAGTTCAGTTATGTCCAACGAACTCAAAAGTGAAGTAACTCTACTTACGACATACTGAACCCCATCGTACGGCTTCAACGCGAGCTCTTTTTTACTGCGAACTTTCGGTTTATCGGGATCAACTGCATCAACATCCGCAATTGATGTCAGGGAAAGGCAATACACGGATTGATCGAAGGATGGATGACCGTAAACGGCAAGAACAGACGGTCTCTTGAACCTGCAAAAATATGATCAATTTGAAAAAAATATTCATTACACGTGATTCAATGCCACACCAAAAAACAACCCCACAAACCAGAAGATTCATCGATAAAACTAGAAACGAACAAAAATTCATTGAAGTAGAAGATGATTCCGCGTGCAATCAAATTTCAAATATATACTCAGCACTGTATTTCAATCGGAAGTGGTTTAGCTCAAGTTCAGAGATGATCTGATCATCCAAAGAAAATTCTCAATACTTTAGATTTAATTATCATTCAATATGCAATAAAGAAGGGCCTCATTATTCCACCCACGCGTGATTCGAGGATAATTGTCCAAAATTTCCTGCAAGGTTTCATAAAATAACCAATCTTTTCCGGGGATGCCTTTGAATCATCATCGGTTTGAAGGTTCATCATCGACACTTTCGAATTTGATAAGCTCGAAGTCACCGAGATCCGTTCAATTAACGGAATATATGTCAGACGCCAGGAAAATTAAAATTTCGAACAAAAACTGGTCGCACTTTCACTCCGATTTACGAATGTAATGAATAAGAAATTCCTGGCATGAGATAATGAAGATACTCAAGACTAGGATCATAAAAAAAATCATATGAAGAAAAAATAGATAACCCACCAACTAGGAATGTTCAGGGTATCGTTGCCCGGTTTCGCACTTGAGACGCAGTGCTTTTCAAGATCGTACGTCGGATGTTCCTCAAATTGCGAAAAATACAAATCCGGATCACCAGTTCTAAAATTAACACACTCACACACAATTAGAAAATTCTCCATGATTTTCAAGCAACGATTTTCGAAATTTAAAAAAACTTACAAGCGATCCAAGTCAATGCGCCAAGACCCCGGGGCTTCGAGTTTGAAGTAAGAATATTGTCCCGCATCCACGATCCCACACAGTTTCTCCACAGATCGAATGATGTGATCCTTGCCAGACTTCAGCACATCATTTCCCGTCAATCGCAACGAAATTTTTAAAAATTACAAACAACATTCCTGAACGAATGCTTCGCTCACCAAGTTGATGACAAAAAAGGCTATGGACAGCACCCCAAACAGCATCAAACTCCACGGCATTTCATGAGAGAGATCGCGCGGTTCGGACGATCATTCAAACCCTGGATCAACCAGAAAAGAAACTTACTCAACACATTTCGAAAGCGGAAAATCTTACGTAAAAGTATGAAGAACCACTGGCAATCCAAAAGCTTTTCTTTATTTCGTCGTAATAATTTCAACAGGATCACGCGCAGTGTGAATTCAAGATCCGCGTCAAATATTTTGCAACCAGAACACTAGTTCATGTCGCCGAAATTTTCCACTTCCAGGAATTTCGTCGTAGAAACAAATCCCAGGCACTCTATAAATATCCTTGCACGAGCTCCTCTGACCGAAAGACCAGGGAAATTTCCGTGGGGCTTAAATAGGCGATGAACAAGTAGAGGGCATTATTTTATACGGACTTGGTGCATTTGAAATGACCGATGAAAAAAGTCGCTCGAAATACATTCGATTGATAATTTTGACCACCAGGTTTCTAAGCTTCGAAATTCTTCTCGAAAAAAAAAATCATGATGTCTATCAAACTAAGCATGGCTTTTCCAAGTCACCTCGAAATCCAAAAACATTTCGGATCATACTCTGCGGAAAGAAAATCAACAAGATTCAATTCTTAAAAGTAAGAGAAAAATTAGTAAAACTAGAGAGAAACTAGCGAGACTCCAGAAATGACTAGCCCCACCGGCTCTTGCAAATTGCTTTCTTCAGATCTCGTCCCATTTGACTAGCCCAATGTTATTTTTCCATTAACATGAATACTCATCATTGCAGGATCCGTACTTGAACGCCTTCAAGAAAAAAAAATGAAAATAATTTTAAAAAATGGGATCCCTAATCTACTATAGAAAAAGTATTGTACAGTAACTAGATTTTGAACGTCCGACACAGAAAATCCAAGGTGGTATATAACCGGATCATGTGTTGAGCTCCAAGGTGTGCAAATGAAAGACCGAAATCGATCAATTCGCCGCTGAACAAAAAAACACAGGGAAGGTCTTAGTGCTTCGTCTAACGAAGATTTTCAGAAGACTTCGAAAAAGACTTGATCTTCAGTTATTCGCAGACGAACGACTAGCAATAGCATCGATGATTCCATTCGCCAGCTGCATCGTTTGATCGTCAAGAAGGACTACGTCAAACTTGTCCAGGAACGAATCCAGTCTTTCCTGGATCTGTAACACAAAAGGTACTTTATCAGCGAAAGGTGAACACTTGATCGAAAACATCTTTTCTACCGAATTATAAAGCAGAAGCTGTAACTATTAATAAACGTGTTCGAAAGCAATTCATTATTATACTGTACCGTACTATGAATCAATTGACGTGACATGATGCATTCAACTTGAACACCCATGCTTCATGAATTTCTTCGCTGTTACATAGATGTCACCCTAATGTCGCCATGCTTCGGTCGAACACACTTTAATAATACTGTCGTTCGAAGATGATCTTCGAATATTCAGGACAAGAATTCACAAAAAAACATACCTTGTCGTTCAGGAATCCGATTTTGAAGACCACTTTGGGTCCGACCACACCTTCAGCCATGTGAGAATCACCCGTGGAATCTCCCATTAGGATAACGTTTGGACGGTGAGACAAATCTCCGAAATATTCGGAATTCCGCACAGCAGTCTCATTCTTGTTGAACATGTGAATCAGATCGCCCTTCAGTCCAATAGCTTTTCCCTAGAATTTGTTCGGAAAGAATTATTATAGCTGGGAAACGCGATGAATAAACAATAACGCGTAAATTATCATGGAATTCATGTCAAAGGCCGCCACAGGAAAACAATCATTGCCTTTCTTTCGTTTCTTATATTATTAGCGCAGAAATCACACCCGGAAAACAGTCGAAAACGTTCCCTCAACTTTCTCAATTTCCAAAAACTACGGTACTTCGAATAACGTCAGAAAAAAAGTTCCCCATTCTTCCCATACAAACTCAACTTACGTCAACGCAAATTTCACGATCAGAAATATTCAAGTTAAAAATAATATTTTTACTACACTGTAAATAACACAAAATAATATCTCTAAAAATTAACTGATGTGCTCACTTCATCGTTGAAGTTGAACCTATTCGCTATCAAATGCATATTCGGTGACATCGGGGCTTGAGACTTGAAGATTTCTTCAATAACGTCTCCCAAACCCGCGGAAAACACCAGCAATGGAACCGACTTTGCCGCTAACTTCTCAAACATCTCACGAGTTCCACATCTAAAATGAACAACAACAAAAATCGATTTGAATCAAAAACTGAAAGAAATTTTTTTCTGAATACAGTACTGTATAAAAAAATCTTTCACCTCAGGTGAACGTTCGCCGTTTTGACGATCTTCGAAATGACTTCCAACTGAAGACCCATTTCCATCAACAGCCCGTTTCCCTTTGAATACCACTCTCTCATCAAGGGAATCTTCTGCTCGACGGGCATTTCGTGGCAAATTTCAATCGGATAATATTTGTCTTTCAAGGTCAGCAACTTCTGTCTGTACTCTTCCGTGAACATATCCGAATGCTCGACAACTCCTGATGAAGGAAAACCGATTAATCTACAGTACTTCTATAGAAAATTACAGTATCTCTCTCTTGAATTTACTTCTAGTTACTACTGTAATTTACATCGTTGTGTATAGACGAAAGAGGAGATTTCGCACCAAAAAAAATCCAGAAAATTTGAAAGCATTTGCATACCGTAGCACGTGAGGCACTTGGACCCATTGAAATGAAATCTTGATAAGGTATAATCAAAATCCGCTATCACCTGAAAATTAGAGCGGAAAAAGTTCACCGAGAATGAAAAAAATAATTAACAACAAATTAATGAATAAGAAGGATTGGTTGCACATATGCAACACTGAAGAAAATAAAAGGTCATTGGGTTTTCATAAAAGAGACACGAGCAAAACTCCAGAACGCGAATAATCTACTGTACCATATTCCTGCAAACATGCATAACATATTCCTGATTCAAATATTTAAAAATCAGATGCATTTCAGAATCTTAGATTCGCATTTAAATAACATATCAGACGACTGTTCTAAATTCCAAACGTCCTCAATTTTTTAAAACTTGTTTTCGTGCTCAACCGAAGATGAATTTAAGATGCGCGCAGTCGAAAACACGTTGAAAATTCGCTGATTCCCAGAAGAATTTTTCGAAGCACTGGATAAATAAAAAGTTAATAATGATCATCACAAACCTGTAATTCCTTTATCCCGCCGTCCAGCAAACTTTGAACTTTTTCGAGAACATCACTCGGATTCTTCATTCGTATGCAACTGGCTTCAAAAGCGGGAATCTGAAGAAAAAGAAGTCACTCAATCAACTTCAGAAACGTAATTTTATAATTAATGTTTTCTTACCAAATGTTGCAATTCCGCAATGGCATGATCCTTTTCCTCCCCGACGTCGCCAGCCACAGTCATTTTCGTAACGAAAAAAAATTCGCGCGATTTCAACGCATCACAACAAACTCACAACCTTCAATAAATCATACGTGACACAAGAAAGTTTCAGTAATGAAATTTCAAAAATACGACCAAGTGAAAAAAAAAATCAATACCTTCTTGTAATGAACGTGAAACAGCGATTCACCCAGAACAAAACCGGTTTAATATGCCCATCAGAGGATCAGACGCTTTCAACACGTCCACGGCAACTCAAAACGGTTTCCATTTATCCACGAAAAGTTTCTTCAGTTTTAAATTATTCCAAAAATTCAGGGAAAAAAAACGAACAGATTTCGCAATAACTGGCCTCAACGCGACACAGACGCAATCGGCGGGAAAAGCTGAATATCAGTAGAATCCATAACTCATGACTAACAAGCAAAAAAATATAGAAAATTTCACACCGGCTTGAATTTTAATTGCTGTTTTACTAGGAGACCAACTGTTACAAGCTCACAATGTTGTTCTGGCATGCGACCAACCGAAACACATCTGACTCATATCAAAAAATTATTCTACGATTTATCCAATTATAACATTATCAACAAATTTAATTCTTCACGTTCTTTGAGATGTTGTTCTGTAACAATTATTTCTTATTGAACATTCCGGTTTTCAGCCAACAAAAAACTGGGGGGCGGGGGGGGGGGGCGGGTTTCACGTGGGGATGGGTTCTAGGGCGTATTTTGTGCCAAAAGATCAAGGTGCGAGTCTCAAGGGCGCGTGGTACTTGAGTAAATAAGGCCAGTAAAATTAGTCAGAGAAACGATCAACAAAACATTTATATAAATTCTCGAATGTCCAGAAAAATTGCGTTTCATCCAAGAGTTACAGGTTATTGATAAATTCGCAAAAAGGTATAATTTAAATCTTGTCACCTCGAATCGAAGCTGAGAACTATCATTTCACATGAATAATTAAATTATTGATAAATTAGCAAGAAATCTAATTTGGTGTTTGACTGATCTAGTCACCTCCAATCGCAGCTGAGCACTATCAGTGAACTTGTCTTTCACCCAAGCAATTATTTCACTTCGAAGTTAGATCGCCGCGAATTAATCACACACCAGTGCTCCGCGTAACTTGAAGTTGGTCACATAGTCGAACAGCGTCAATTCTTTTCGCAAACGTTAACTCTTCATCATTCACAATAAATAATCTGATGTAAATATTCTTCTCGGTTTATCGGAATGAACTGATGAAAAAAAAAACATGCATTAAAGATCAGTAAAATTAATACTGAACCGAAAACGCACGTTCCTCCGAGCAGAAGTCACTCGGATAAAACTGAACACAACGCAGTTTCGTCTCACGCAAGATGATAAAGTCAAGTTGTTCTTTCTTCTGTTTTTTGTTTTTTCAAATGGGACTGACTGTTCTGTGGGGTTTCACGCGTTTCGCTAACTTTCAAACTGGATTCTTTTCGCACGTCGAAAATTTTTTTTTCAGTTTCCGCAGTGCATCACTCGAGGAATTCACAGAGCTCCAACGCCACAAAATATATCCTGGTCGTGCACCACACAAACGAGGGCAGAAAGCAAAAACACACACCATAAAAAAAGCTTTTTCTCAACAGGGTGCAGGCAAAAAAAAACAGCCGAAGGAATGAACGGATGTTCCCACACTCGTCTTCACACTGGGTACGCCACAAAAACACTCGGCACGAAACGCACACACGAAAAAAAATTCCACGGAGGGAGGAAACAACGAGATCAATTCGTTCGTGATGAGATTTCGCGATTTTTGCTTTCAATACTTTTTCTTTTCTTTTCGCGGAACAATCGTGTGCGTCTTGAGCATTAGGTTTTCTTTCTTTCTTCTTTGGAGGGAAAACACTCGAAATGCCTCGAGATGGCTGCCCCTTAAGCATCGCAGCTTTGACTAGTATTTGTACAACTCCGACCCAACTCGGTCAAATGTAATCTATGGAAACCACAAGTCAGTGCTGTTTCGTCTATCCAGTGCACGTCAAGCTTTTCTCCTTTTTGTTAGTGAGTCTCACTTCACAACGGAATGCTTCGAGAAACGAGGAAAATAATTCACACACGCAAAACGCGACCAAGGGAGCAAGGCACCCGTAGCATTATTACTTGTTTCTTCTCGTGTCTTTGTTCTTAGTCGTCCTTTCTTTTTTTAACCTACTAAACTGGGGTTTGACCAGACCTCTTTTTTTCCGCAGTTTTCCATTGACTTAGATTTCCGTCGAACGCGCTGGAACCCGTTTCTTCGGTCCAGGGTCATCCGTATCTTCAATGCCACTCATACCGTTGCAATCCTCCAACAGACATCTTCGCTTCGTACAAATGGAATCGAGTTCCATTTCTTCCGCGTGCTTGTGTCCATCTGCTAAAAACTGAGAAAATAGAGAGAAAAATGTGTTCGATAACAACCCTAAAATAACCGGAAAAGACGTAAAAAATTGCTTCTGTTAATTGACGATAGGTTTCAAGGAAAATCTACAGTATTACTTTAGTAACGCGAATCTATACTGAAAGGCTTCTTGGTAGTTCATCAACTTTGATAAGAAGCTAAATCTCGATACCTACGGAATTTTCTTCAACATTCAAACTGAACAACGACGTCTACAGCATTTACCAAGTACTGTGCTGTAATGTAAATCCATACTCAAATGCTTATTGGTTGAATGTCCATCGAATGAGTGATAAGAAGCTCTCATTCTTTCTCGATACCTCGGGAATTTTCTTTCAACATATAGACTGATCAACGAATACAAAACATTACATGGATTTTCGACATGAAATTTCTTTGAATAACGACAAAATACTTGAGAAACGAAGAAAACACGCACAACACGATGAAAAAGAGTTCAAGGAACTCGATAAATATTGCTTGCAACTGCTAAGCCGATTTTTCAAGAAAAAAGAACAAAGGTCTGCTATTCGAGCAGAAATTCATGCCAGACGAAGGCCATTGATTGAAATACTCAATTACGCAAGTCATTAATTACCGCAATGTCCCTCGTAATTTGTAAAACTAAAAAACTACTCACTCTTCCCATAATTTCGATCGGAGTGGCTCCATTGGCTTCCGCAACTTTATGCTCCACCAAATAGTACATATACTCGTCGTACAGCAGTCGAATCAAATGAAATGATCCAAAGCTAGCGGCACTTCGTAATGTCAGATCCCGAATGACCATCGAGCTGGAAGAAAAAAGGGGTTTCATAAATCAAGGAGATTGATCACTGATGGAATGGCTAATGCAACAAAATGATAAGTACCGAAAAACACAATAAGTAAAACATTTCGAACAACCCTCACTGGACGATTCGATACGCTGAGTAAGCTATGACCTTTTCTTCACTTCAACTGCGGAAAAATCATATTTCCGAAACCCTGACTTTCTGAAAAACTTATTTTTCCGATTTTCTTTGTAATGAAGAGGTTTGACTGAAGAAATGTTAACCCAACATTTAAAAAAATTTTCTTTAAACCACGGAAGCCATGAAGAAAATCCCGATAGTGACGAACATACCTGTAAAACGACCACTTGAGTAAGAACTGTCGAGCATGATTGGCATAATCCGCAGATTGCTCATAACGTGCCAGCGCACGATTTACAACGCTATCAAGCCAGGCCGCCCAATCTTCCAGCGTCTTCTGTTGTTGCAGGGCGTCCATGAACGCCTGCCGTAGCCTCATCACCATTCCTTCATCGCATTCGCAAACCTTGGGAGAGAAGAAAATTCAAATACAGTCAAACCTCTTCAAGTTTAACTTCAAGGGACCAGCAAAAAAATTCAAGAAAGGGACGTTTTGAGTTAGAGAAACACTCATTTTCGTTGGGGGGGGGGGGGGGGGGGGGAAAAAAAAAAAAACANGCAAGCATTTGGGGGGGGGGGGGGGGGGGGGGGGGAAGAAAGAAAACATTACAGGAAATTATAATTCGTGATATTCTATGCATTCAATTTATTTTTAAATTGGTAGACATGATTGCTGAACATGGGAGTCAACGGTTTATTAGCCCAATCGGTCTTTCACTTCTTTTCGAAACACATCTTGATTGCTTTCCACTTTCCTGTTCCAATAAAATAATTGCCTCAAGGTCTCGAGAAAATTCAAGTTTTGGCGCTTTGAGGGGGGAAAGCCTTCGAGTTAGGAAGGTTTCTAATGCATTTTTCCCAAGGGAATTTAGACAGGGACTTGAAAAAAAAATTCGCCGAAGGGAGGTTCGAGTCGCCAAGGTTCATTTCGTCACTACGAAGCTGTTGGGACCTGGAAAAAGGCTTCGTCAAAAATCGATTAAAATAACATTATGGCCATTGGACAGGGACCCAAAAAGAAGAATTCGTCGCAAGCCATGATTCGTTATAATGAGATTCTACTGTGCATCAGCACCTTGGCTTTCCCCCACCCAAGAGTCAATCAAACGTTTCGCTCACCCAAGACGCCTGTTCTTGCACATGATAAAAATCCACGCGACTCAAATCCGTCACCATCTGCTGAATCTGAGTAGTATTGTACAAGACTGCACGAGCAGCTTGTGCCAAATGATTCAGGCTGGTGTAGCGCCTCAGGGTCTGAGCAAAAGCGTTCACTGCCGCAGACTTGATCCGAATCATTTCCGACGGAGCTCCATCCATGGCAGAGCTTAGCCAAACGTCCAAATTCTTTGCAAAATTTCTGATGGACTGCGTCAAAGTACCTGGCAGAAAAAAAAACGATAAAATTTTTCGCTAATTTGAAGCATGAACAACAATCAAAAGGCTTCAAATTATGAGGACAAACGTCCAACAACAAAAGCTTTGAAGAGAGGACAAGAATATTTTTCTCATTCACTGAATCACACAACAGATGAAAAGTGCGTGAAAATAGAAAAATGATTGTTCTTCGTACGAGACCTCCTCTACTTCTTAGTTTTATCTGCAGCCTTCTTCCCATTTACTTAAGGGGGTTCCAAGAAACAAAGAAATCTGCATTGATGTTCACTGGTCTCTCCCCAAAATCTTGATAACCGTATTAAATTTTTGTGTCCGGGAAATTTCCACAACTTGACTCACTCGGAATGGCTTGCAGTACGTCCGGGATCAAGTAGTTCACCAGATATTGATAAAAGATATAATCCGCATTTCGCACGAAGTCCTGGACAGCAGGACACTCGCACAACGAGGAAAGCTTTGGACCAGTCAATTGCTTCGCGTCAGCCTCGCCTCCACTGGAATCTTCGTCCATCACGGGATCATTGATGCCAACCTTGGTCTCCTCATCTCTCAATGGTTTCCAAAATTGACGCCACATCGCGTCCACGGCGTTGAAATTCCCCCGAACCACTGCACTCAAAACTCCCTGAAAACATTTGTGAGGCACGGAGATCCGCGTACAGAGCAATTTTCAGTGATGACGATCACGCAAAAAAAAATGAAATAAATAAATCCTGACCTCGCAATGCTCTTCGTAAAGAGACCGAAAGACCTCGACATCGTCCAAGGTTATTCCTTGCGGCAAAGTAATGGCGCCGAAATCAATTTCAGGAAAGGATGGAAATGGATTAGTCGGCTCTCCTAGAAAACCAGGGGAATGTCGACCAAGATTCACCACCTAAAATATAAATAAAAAATAAAAATTTTAAATCACCAATGGAAGCAGTGATGCAATACACCATAGATCAGCACCCCGTCAAATCACCGTATTTAACACAAATATAAACACACACCCCTTTCCTAGAATTTTCATGCGAAAAGTTGAAATTTCATTACTAGGCAAATGTAAGCCCGCAATTAATTGTCTGGTGTTCTGACTTTCCAAGAACACAAAATATATCCCTACTAAATTTGGGGTTTTCCCAAAAAATGAAAAACGGTGTCACACAATCCTTGCTCTTCCCTTTCACTCGAATCAATCACGCATCTAAAAGTGCTAAAAGCTGACCATTTCTTGATTATTTTTCAACTTCAATTCCAAAATAACTTACGAAAAGGAGTACTCGATCATTTCGAGGGCCAATTTACGCGAATTGCATAAAAATGCGAATATAAGCAACCCCTGGTTCAAGAGCTTCTAAAATTGAAAAAGGGGCGCTTACATTCGCGTTAATACGATGTTATTTCACCTCAGCCAATACTTCATTTGAAATTGTTCTCTCTTTTATTTCATTTATTTTTTATGCGTATGACTGGTATTCCTGTTTGCCTCGAGCTATTGATCCCGATGAAAACAAATACAGTTCAATGGCCAGTACATTCACTGCATTTTCGCGAAAATTACCAAATTTTTTTCCTGTTCTGACATTTCCCATTTCAGAAAACGCAACGACGATTACTTTCAGTGCACGCTCGATCAGAAGGTGTAAAATTGTTACATTTAGAAACCACACAAAACAGCGAATATCGCCGATATTTTTCCGCAGTAAATTTTTCATAGCTTCATTTCACTCTCAGGTGAAACTAAAATAAATTCCACTGTCAATAAACTCGCTCTGCTTCCGATTTCACTTCACAATAAAAATGGTGAAAACAAAACTCACGACACTAAAAATATATCATTTGATTTTGAACGCGGCTCTGCAGGAAAAGTGACTCGTTAAGAAGTGAACTCCTGCATTAAATCGCAGCAAAAACGGAAGTGTTCTCGGAGTCTCATTTATACGATATGCAAGCATTTATAAAAAAAATAAAATACTGGAAGGCTGACCTTGCTCGCCGGAGCGTCCGAATTCTGTTGAACCTCCCCATTAGACTCCACGATGTCCTCCTTGAATACTTTAACTTCGTCCGAAACATTCCTGTAGTCGCTTCGGGACTCGGCACTCGTCGGGCTGCCGGGTTCATCCTCTGGCATGTCATCGTCATCCGTTCCCACAAAGTCACTCAACAAAGACGTCGACTTCACACGTATTCCATAGTAGTGATACTTTGAGTTTCCCCTAACGTAAAATCACGCAAGATTTCTTCAAAACATGATTCAAATACAGTTGATGACTCGTACCTCCCTATTTCATTTTTTCAACATTCCGCTCTATATTTCCTTAGGAACAAAGCATCAAAATCCTCTCCAACTCGAAGACGTTTCAACCTCAAAAAACCTCCAAAACTCGCATTTTCTGTAGACCGCTTGACTATTTTATTTTTTGGAAAGAAAAAAGCAATAAAAATGCAATTCAATGCGTTTTCTAAGGAAGGGAGAGACTACCGTCTTCACTCGAGTGCCTTGTTCTCTCGAGTAAGACGCGCGCCTTCAGCGGAACATTTTTATAAAATCCTATCCCCCGAGGAAAACGCGCACCCAACTTTTAGTGACTTCAAAAACACAATATTTATAAAAATAAGAACACCCAAATTCGAGTAATTTTCAAAGTTTCTATTGGAATATTTTTTTGTGTTGAACTTCATCCAAAAATTGTAGTACGCAAACGTAAATTTATAAAACTTTTTTAAATGTATGCTCGTACATGACGCTCATCCTCCATCTTTCCTCTCAAAGTTGATTTTTAAAAAAAAAGGTAAGCGTGGTACTCGAGTAAGTACGTTATTCAGGCAACTGAACATTCGCCTCCATATTCAGCAGCATGTCAACTAATTCAGAAAGCCATTCAAGGCACAGAATATCACCGATTACAATTTCCTGCAATTTTTCCTTTCTCCCCCCCCCCCCAAAAAAAACCTTTTGTTTCCCCCACCTCGATTTTTTTTCTTATGCGGGTCCATTGAAGTTCGACTCTAATAGGTCAGAATGTAAAACGTTCACACGTTTCTCACCTTGTGCCCAATCGCCTCGTCCGTAAGCCCGCAAACACGGAACGAATCAACTTTCCGAAACTCGCGGGATTCACCGGTTCAATCTTATGGTCCGAACAATGCCGCAGGTAGTGCTTATACAACGTCGAACGGGGTAAACTAACGCCATCCGCCGTTTCGTAATTTTCCATCAACCATTGAACCTGCGTAGAAAAAATCTCTCATTTATTCATGTCATTAAATAAAGCAAGGTCTTCAGAGCGATATAATAATTAGTGACGACAAAACAAAACAAACCCACAGACACACACACACACACGTGGAATGATGCATTCACTCACTGTCAGTGGAGAGACTCTCGTGGCATGGGCAACCCCGGCTTGCCCTCCATCGCTGTCTGAGGCCTGACTGGAATTGTTTGTTGCCATAATATAAGTGACGCCGGGTTCCTGACAGCGCCAGAATAAAACGTGAGACGCGCGTGCATCACTCAAACGTGTAACACACTCAATGGAAAACGTGGAATAAAAAAAATGACGGGACGAACAGTCGACTGGGACAAGCGTACGTTTCAGAATAATCTGGTACTGTACTGCAGAATCTCGTCAAAAAAAATCTTGTTTTAACGAATCATCGCTTACAACAAAGTCGTTCTTCAAGTTCCTTGGCAATAGGCAAAAATGTCGAGAGGATTAATGCATAAAGAGATTTTACTGTACCACTAAGAGAAGAAAAGCTTTATAAAACCTAGTGCACGACATTGCATTTTGTCACTCACACTGCTTAATTAGTAAAAAAAATAATATACTGATCTTTTCTCAAGAATGTGAAGTACGCGGGATTTCTTTCAGTGCTACTTGTCAACTTTTCTGATTTGCAGAGCCTTTCTTGAGAAGAAAAATTCTATAATTTTTTTTTTCATTAGTTCCGTATCTCCCGCGGAGCCCTTGGGAAATTTAGCGGCGCCCTCAAGGCTCCACGGAGCATTTCCTTGAGTTCATTTTTTTACGGATATTTTCCGAGAGGAGCATTCAAACAAGCAAATTTACAGCATTCACTGAATGTAGTTTGAAGATACCTCTAATTTTCTTCGAACTGGGACATGGTAAAAATTCGTTCGCATGTTCACTTTCAAGTTTAATCGTCAAACATAGAAAAATAAGTAAATCGCAAAAATAAGTAAAATTTGCGGCGCATCTGAAGTACAGTATTTTGTAAAACTTTTATACTATGACTTACAAAATGATACCTGCATTGTCGTTCCAATTAGTTTTAATTTGCGTACTTAATTAAAAGAACACAATGTCGTGAACAAAACAAGACACGTACTCAGCAATACTCCTTCACGCATCTAATGCAATTAAAAATATCACAGACACCTACTCTTCAAAGTAGACGCACACTAAATAAACCCACTTGAACCCATTCGACTGTGTCAAAAATAGGGCATAACAAGAAGAAAAAAAAGTCACACAAAACTCACTGTGATGGGCGGTGTCCTCGGTGAAGCGATCACCGAGGTTACATTCGGTGTATTGACTAGATGAGATCCACCTGTATTTGTTGACCCTGAGCCCGTTTCGGTCGCGGATTCAATATGTGGAAAAATATACGTCGCAAGGGGCTGTCCAGAAACCTAGCAAAACAGAAATAAATGAATATTAATGGAGGGTTAAAAGGGGCCCCACTGGAACATAAAATCACTTGCGTAAAATCTTGGAGAGATAGATAAGAAAATGCTAAGGACGCATTATACAAACCGAAGTAAAGGCCACTGTGGGCGACGATCCGTTTCCTGACGAATGGAACGTTCCGCCTGCCGTTGAGGTGTACACGCCATCACCGACAGTGTACAGAGGATATGCACTGAAAGAAATTATACTTGCATTCAAATAACAGGAATCAAAATTGTCACCGGCGAACGTAATTTGCACCGAAAAAGGGTCATTCAAAATATAAAATTTTCAGCTTCCCGAAATTTGAGGTACAGAAAAATCGAAAAAATTCGAAAACCAGAATTTCATTCCTCGCGGTTGTTGGTGCGATAACGAGAGAAAAGCGCCCAGGGTTAACTTTTCAACTTTATTCATTCCTCATTCATTACGCACTGAAATTCCAGTTAGTTAAATGCGTCTGAATTTTGTTGCGTGAAAAAGACGAGCTGGTTTGCTTTCACCGTGATTCGAATTCAAGAGGTCACTGAAAATGTTCACATAATTGAGTTTATCGGGCATATTTCGAAGAAAATCGAAATTAGATCCACGTACAACACGATATACATACAACGAGATCCAACAATTCCCTCAGTATTCCTTCTTCACCATGAAGCACAAATACGTATATTTAAAGTCACATCTAATAGCGGGGAAGTGTGCAATATTCAATTCAACTGATCAACTTCAAACCAAGAAAATTTAACAAGAAGCTCATGCATCACGAATTTAAACACTTACATCTGACCATTCGTGGCTGTGAAAATCCCTCCATCACCGGAACCATCCACATACTGCACGAACGTTGTCGTAGGATGAGAAACACCATCCTCTGCAGCTTCATTATCTCCCACTACATTGAATGAAGAAGAACAAACGGTTTCAAAATACCTGTTTTAGGATCCGAAACAAGCGCACATCATTTAAATATCTTACCAACAACCGGATTCACCGGTTGCAACGACGCATACGATCGACTATCACCTCCGTCTTCCGAAGCCGCATTAAAAATAAACAATTGCACAGTCAAAGAGGTAAAAAAAAACGCGAAAAGAAAAGCCTTATACTAACCCGCAGCAACAGCGATGAACTGCGTATTAGGCGGTAAGGCGGCAGCCAAAGTGCTTGTTCCGTTGGAGGAGGTAACAACTGCGGAACGACCACCATCGGCGGTCATCAATATCCTTAGTGGACTTCGCGTCCGATCCATCGCACCGGAAACCTTGGTAAATCCAAATAAATTCCGAAAAATCATAACTTCAGCGGAAATGAACATCTTACCTGATTTGAGCCAGCAGAAACTGCTGCGATTGTATCGTTGACTAAGCAGCCCTCAGTTCGAGACTGCATTTCCACCGGAAGAAACATCTGCAAAGCAGCATTCGCCATAATGACAAAGCAAAACAGGAATGAAGAATTTCGTTACCTGGCAGCAATATTTTCATCCATGGATCTCTTCATATGAAACATCAACTACATTCATGCCTTGAGTTTTCGGCGAGGAACCGTTCGTCCACATATCACCGCAAGACATACTCGAGAGACCAGGCCGACAAGTATTTGAGATCAATCAATTCTTCAAAGTGATAGAAAAAAGATTCGTGGTTACGACGATCTTCAACAGAAAAACATTCGTGGACTTGCATACTTTCGAAACGAAATTTCTGCGATACTTGTTCACTTATAAATGAATTAATGGATTATATCGCAATTTGAACTTATCGGGCGAATGGTATGCAATTATCAAACTCGGAGTTCAATCATATACCTTTTTGCTGTTATTGTGAATTTCACTGAAAACAAAATCCCAACGAAAAATTTCTTTCAAAAACCATGAGAGAAGTGGCTGCAAAATTGAACGGTACCGAATTGCACCGTCATCGTACAAGATTAGATTCAACTAAGTTCGTTCTTAAAGCCCTTATACAAATCACCGCATCATCAGAACTACAGTGCTACAGTACATGTGTTCGTCATCTCACACTTGCCAGAGCTGGAAATATTAGCAAAACCCAAAAACTCGGTCATAAAATTAACCAAAGCACTCGATCCTTCCCGTCGCGGGCTACAGGAGATCCGCAATCGTCACGCATCCAGCCAACGTTGCACTACGGATAAGCACAAGTTCCCTACGAGGAATCTGCCTTTTCATTCGTGAATGAATGCAATGCTTTCCTCTTTCCACGAAATTCTTAGCACCAACCACACGTGTATGTCAAAATTTCATTCATTAGATTGCTCCGCAATCGTAAGTCCACAACAGGCGCGAGGCGAGGTGATCAATGATCAATGTTGTCGTGTGCCTGTGCATGCTTGCATATACATGACGGCAGCCATATGTGATTCCACCATCTAATAACAAACAACAAAGCACTTATGGGCAATCATTAACGGAATTCACTTTTTTCGAATGTTCGTAGAGGCGAGGTATCAAATAATGCACCAGCAGTACAGTAAGTCAGTACGGATACGGATCTGAAAAACAGGATGATTAGTGGTACAGCTCACTTCGTTGGTCGGTTCAGACAACCCCTTCTTCGCGAGTCAGTGACATCTGGTTTAAAAAATGAAGACTACATCCAAAACGTATTGGAAGCTTTATTGGAGAGGGAGATGGCAAGAGCTCAGGCGTTAATTTTTCCACGGGTCGATCAGGCCAGATATTACGGTTTAGTACTTTAGTTACTTTAATTGTGTACTGTGAACGATACGTGTATATCCTGTCCATCAATGCATGCGTTTCATGTGATGTCCACAGTCGAATTCATAACATGATGCACTGTATAAACATTCTTTATAAACCACGCAATGGAAAATGAAATCTAAACAATGTCAGGTTATACGTGTATATATGTGTGCTGCCGACAATAATAACGAGATGGTCAATATATAATGGCATTTGGCTGTATATACAGTATATGGCTGGCAAGTTATTTTATGTGCTGAGTATATTAGTGCTAAAAAAGCTTCACATTCAGAGAAATATACACACCAGCATAGAAGATACATTTCACCTGAAAATTATTTTTCGTTTCGTTTTTAATGCTGCAAGTAAGACTCAATTATTGACCAGTACAACAGCATTTGAACAAATTAAAAAATTACCTTTGTCGTCATAGACAGCTTTCAACTCAAATTTAAGCATCCCTTAATTTATTTTCTTAAATCCCTGAAATTTAGAAAATGTATGCCTCATCTGTAACAACGCAAGATATCAGAGTTTGGAAACATATTATTATGATGTTCAAAAATTGGATGCTTGACAATGAAAAAAATTTCCCAGGATAGTTTTTATGTATCTTTCAGTCTTTCTATAAAATCAAGATGAATTTTGTTATGCCTTTTTTGAGCATCGCTGAAAAATAAGCAGCATTATCTCAAAGAAAATGATCTCCCAAAATAATAAATACAGTATATACATTTTGAAAATCTGAAAAAGATATTTTTTGCTCAAAATTCTGAATCCCACCTCTATATATCCAAGGCAAAAGCTCGAGTATGAAAAAAACCTAATCAAAGCATCTGCACAGAAATTTTCAATCACCACAAAAACTCGTTTTTATTTTAAATAACTTCGGGGATGATGAGCAAGAGTTTGGATGAATAGAAAAAAATATAGTACCGACGGGGTTTCGATCCAGTGAAAGTGAAGACGGCTGTTACATGAAATGAACCGTCTGCTGCGTTTAAAAATGGCGATTAAAATGCCGTTTGGCTGCACTACTTGGAAGAAACTTCCGGAAATGCTGGGGGGGGGGAGGGGTTCATTATAAACCCGCAGTTTGGGTCGTGTGAATCCGTGTCATGCGCACGAGGAGGTACAAAAACTTTCTCGCCATCCATCAACAACAGTTGTGGTGTCAGATTGACCCAATAACTATCACAACTAAAAGAGACATCACTACTGAGAATAAGTAACTTACAGTAGGAGGAGAACCTGTTATACTGCTGAAAAAAGTAAGAACTGAGATCAGTTTTCTGCTGGTTCATGAAGAGAAATCTGGTGCCAAAATTACAAATATACCCCTATAATCTTAACAAACAATCCAGTTTTAACAAAATGTATGCATGATATATACATTTTCTATGCATGCTCCAGTTTAAAATAACCAATGATTTAGCTAGCACATATTTGAACAGTTGAACCTCTCTATAATTCAAATTTCAAGGGACCAGCACAAAAATTTGACTTAGGGAGGTTTCCATTTAGGAATGTTTCTAATTAAGGAAACAATCATTCTTTCTGGAAACATAAAGAATTGTAGGAAGTTGTAAATGGTGATATCCTGGGCCTTGGAAATCACTTCTTTAATGAGTTAACAGTATGCTGAACTTGAAGGCAAGGGTTCATTAGCCCAATTAGTGTGTCACTTTCTTTAAAAACATTACGTTACTTTTTTCATTGCTTTTCTCTTTCATGTATCAAGACAATAATAGCCAAGAGGCTGTAGAATATTTGACTTACAGAGGTTTGAGAGAAAAAGACTTTTAGTTAGGTCATGCATTGCTTTTAAGGGAATTCAGATGAGGATGACTTGAAAAAATTTGACTTTGGGAGATATTTGACTTGGGGAGGTTCAACTTATCAAAGTTCAACTGCTGTAATAGGGTACAGTATATCCATAACATTTCCAAGAATAAGGAATTTGAATTGATTTTTGCATGCACCTTATGAACAATCCAACTAACCAAAAATTAATATCCTCAAAAATATAATAAATTTGTAAGCCAATAATACCAGCCTACTGTAAATATACAAATGTATACTGTAAATTGATAAATAAGCATATAAACAATGAAATAGGATGTTAAGATTCAGTACTTGGGCTTGGAGGTATATCAACTTATCAGATCAAATTCAACAAATGATACTGGGTGGCAAACAAAACACAGAACTTTTTAAAATTATTTAATTAAAGTTAATCTTACATATGATGAGTTAACATTTAAAGGGGCCCTTGAATCATGCATACAGTTCATGTAACTCACTGACCTGACAGCATGGTTTTAATGGAAAGTCATTCTTCATACCTGAATATCAACTAATGATAGGTTTCATACCACAGTGAAAACTTTGTGGTGCCTTCCAGCCATTATTTTTAAAATTAAAACACATTCACTGTATTTGAAAAAAAAAAGTAATCAGACAAGTCAACCATCAATAATCATGCAGTACATTTATCCAACATTCAATATGTGGATTGGATGAGTTCCTTACAAATCCTTTTCAACCTCTGCACACATTCCCTTGCTCAGAAAACAGCAGCACAACATATATTTTTTGAATAAATCCAGAAGTTCTTTGACCTTCATGCAAGTCAAAAAGCTTTGCTCCTCAACTTCGTGGTTCTGCATACAAGGCAATGAATTCCATCATATGAAAAATAAATAAAGGAATGTGATCCCAGACATTAAAAAGTTCAAGGACCTGCTGTCTTTGAGCTGAGCCCACAGTTGGCAAAGAAGACACACACTGTGAACAACCCATTGGAAAAAAGAGAAGATAAGCCCCCATACTCTGTTTTGACATCAGTTAATGTAGTCAAACATTCCACAAGATATGAAATTGAGAATTGTGCAACTTTGGTGCTTGGCAACCCTCATTGCCTTCACAATCAGTGTTGTGTCTTTAAAACCACCCAAAGGGCTCAAGAAGGATCTTGCAACCAAAGATGGACCAGCAGCAGAGTTTTCTGCCATCCAAACTGTTTTCCTTGGTGGTGTGATATTCACAATGTTTGCAGCCAAATTCCTAGGGATCCTGCCATTAAATGTGAACAAGTTCTATTCAACACTATTGGGACAGCAGAGGGTAATCCCTCCAGCTGCTTCTAGAAATTTGACAACAGCTAGATTATTGCAGCATGATGAGCTCTCCTATGAGGATATTTGGTTTGGTGCCCATGTAAGTTGAATTATTGATGTACAAAAGTGTCAAATAAATGCATTATAGGTTGTTCAAGAAAAAATTGACTTGTATCACTTCAAAGTTGAACAGACCATAGAGCACTGGGTTGGTCTCTATGAAAATCTTTGCCACAAACACTACAGTTAACCTCTCATAACAGACAGCCCCAAGGATTTTTTAAAAGCAGTCCTTATAATGAAGAAGCTCTAAGATCACAGTAGCTGCACACTAAATCATAGTGCCTTATTTGAAAAAAAAACATTTTCCAGTTCATGTGAAGGAAGTGAACCTCATCTGTGAACAATGTACCCTTTACCAAGGTTTCATTAAATAGCTTTCTTGGTTTTATTGTGTTCCTGTTTACAGGATCCTTACATATGTCAAAGGTATCATGTGGTCTCAATAACATAAATTCCCAAAACTTATCAGACTGATGAAATCAAAGGCTATGAAACTTGGCTTGAGTGAATTTCTAAAATAC